TTCTTATTACCCCAACATTTTTCTTTCGACTAGTGAAAACCGCAGCTCCGTAGCTACATCCTAGAAAAAGTTATTAAACAAATGGCCATGGTCTTTCTTTTTTGAAATGGATAATAGTATAAAATAGTATAAAAATGCTGATTTCTTTGAATAATGAGTAAAAGAAAATAAGAATAATATGAAACGAATCATATTTTTTTCTTGTTGATACAACTGTCTGTTGTATTTTACTTTTTCTGAGCAATATATATCATATATTATATTAAGTATTTATAATATATATAATATATCAAGTATTTCTTCTATATATAGAATTTGTTAGAATTTCGCATTTATTCAGTGTGTATGTAACATCAATAACACGGTTAGATGCATTTGAATAAAAAAAGAAAAAGTATAAAGAACTTCACGGCTTATCCACGTAACTCGGTAGTTCGCTGATCTAGTTTTTGAAAAAAATTATTTTAGGGTAAAACTGAAAGAAGCACATTACTAGATGTAGTTTTTGATGCTAATTACGAATCTTACATTATTTTTTTTAAAAAGTTAAATTTTGGCGGCAAAAATCCAGTTTTACGTTTTTTGAAAACTGTTTTTTCAATTTCCTGACCTAGACACCTTTCCTTAAAAAATGGAAGATCACACTAGTCCATATAGAATTCGATTCACTACATGGATGTCTGTGTAGCTGTCTGTGTGCTGTCTGTAGGTGTCTGTAAGTGTCTGTGGGTGTCTTCATGTTTTACTATTACCCCTACGAATGTTAGTGCATTTTGCATAGTGCAAGAAAAAATGACATGCTGATTCAGGTGTTTTGGGAAGTAACACAGTTCCGGTTAGTAATAAAGTTTCGTTGGTATTGGTCAACTACTAAAACGTTGAATTTCAACCGCATATCCTCAAATTTTTCATTGTTAGAAAGATGTCAGGTCGTTTGTGGGTAATCTTTGATGCTGATCCCGAACCTGATATCCGTTGCTATTGTTAGGCCTTCCTAGGATGGGTTCCTAGAATGCAGGTGCTCACAGATTCACTATGAATTTTCAGCTGAACATATTTTGCACAGTCCGATTGTAGCGCACGTTGAATTACCTATGTGGGAAAATGTTCAGAACCAACGAACGAGTTTTCGCACAGATAGAAAAAGTTTAGGGTTCATAAAAGTGAAATATTTGGTTCGCTACTGGATTAGAAAGGAAACTTTTTCTATCTGCGTGAAAACTCGTTCGTTGGTTCTGAACATTTTCCCACATAGGTAATTCAACGTGCGCTACAATCGGACAGTGCCAAAATATGTTCAGCTGGAAACTCATAGTAAATCTGTGGGCACCCGCATTCGAGGAAGCCGCTTCAGGAAGGCTTGGCAGCAGAAATGGACATTCGATTCATGATCAGCATCAAAGATTACGCACAATCGTGTATGTTTTACGGAAAAAGCGCCTGGACACTTGGGAAGGTTTTCTGGTTCAGGGCCGGGCAGCTCCAACTCCGGAGTTAAGGTTTTTTTCGGCGGAGTTGAACTTGGAGTTGAACTTGGAGTTGACCTTGGCGGAGTTGGAGTTGAATTTTTGTACTTTTATTCTCAACTCCGTTTTGAATTTTTGAAAATATCCAATAGCTGTAAACTGATCTTCTGAACGATAGAGTGGCTGTATTCACGAGTGAAATCTTGTGGGCTACAGTTATACCTCATTAAGAAAGATTTGGTTATTTTCTAGCGGTTCTGAAAAACTGGTTTTCCAGAAAACGACTCACTTGTATGTCGATATAATAGATGAATATTTGATGAAAGTAGAAAACTTACTCTTTCTTTTTAAAAAAGGTTGGGACTCATGGCGTTTTTAAAAAGTTATACGAGCATAAAAAGTCTGTAAGAAACAGAAACCCGTAAGATCTTACGCACAACAATATTAATCGCGTTGTATTTGATGTCTAATTGCGTCGAATGTATGTACGATACTAGGATAACCTACAGCCGAGCCAAGCAGTTTAAAAAGTGTTTCGTGTAGTTCTCCATCAAAACAAGTTTTTTCGAAAATAAATAGTTTTAAAATCTGACCGTGCTCGTACTCATCTTTAGTAATGCAGTGAGTTTTGATCATCTAAAATTATGGAATTTTTTATGACGTATACTCTTCAACGCCCCCTTCTGAACAAAATTTCTTTACAATAAATAATTTATTTAAATATAGTTATTAGTCTCAAAAAACGACAGGTATAAATCTGTTTCATTTTCTACTGTTTTGGATATAACTTCGGTTTTCCTTGTAACATAAGAGCAAGAGCATCGCCATACATTCGGACATAAATGTATTGTACTTTTTACGAAAGAAAAAACTAAAGGAAAAAATATTATTCTAGGGTATGTAAAAGCCTGCTGAATAGAATGATGCCCTCACCGGCTATTAATTACTTTTAAATATAAAACAGGTTATCTTGTATTATTTCAATTAAACCATAACAAATACATGCAGTGCGCTATCCAATGATATATTTGAAGTGATTTTTTGATAAATTTAAGTAGACCAAACACCTTATGTAAAATATGATTAAAAAATTAAAAACTCAATTTTTATCCGTGAGCTATAAATTACTTTTGACAATATCTTTGTTTCATCGTATAATCCACACTTGGCTCTTTCGAATGGTATATAACACAAAATTATATTTGTTCAAGAAACATCCAGATAGAAGTGGAAAAGTGATCTTATGAACGCTTATTGAGCGAAAAAAGCAGATCAAACTTAGAAACCTTCTATCATTTGATAGAAGACTTTTAGATAAAAACCTGCTGTTAACAAGAAATAAAACTGAGACTTAGAGCTATCGAATGGTAAAAGAGAAATCTTCCTATTCTTCTTCCTTCAGGAAATAATAGCGTTACAAATTTTTCCGTTTCCATTAACTGTATCTTCCTATCATTGGCTATCGTGTAGTTATGGGCAGACTGGAACTAGAAAAGATTTTTCGCGCGATCCGGACTGGAACCAAGAATACTTTTTGACAATTTCATAAAAGCAGCTGAAATTTTACCTTTTTTCTATACTTAAATACAAATTTAATTACAAGGATCGGGACTGAAAAACCATTGGTTCAGCCCATGTCTAACATCGTGTCATCAGTAATTTAATGAGTATTTTTCTCTTCTTTCTCCCTGTCTCTCTATTCGTCGTATATAAATAGCTTGTAAATTTCGAATTCTGAAGATTCCATTCATTCTCGCTAACACGTGTCTGGTACTTTCGTTTATCTCGCTCAATTTTTCTAAAATAAAGTTTTTCAAAAGATACCAGAACGCTTCCTTCGTATTAATATAATCAAATTCTGTTGCGCTTATCTATTATGTTATATTAGTGTTTCTAGTTTAGGATTTACATCCTCCTTTCAAGATTTTTCGATTCCTCTTTAATTCCTCTTTTTTAGAAAAACCGCAGTACGACATAACTTACACTTTTACAGCACTTACATAAGATTAAATTACTCCTCTTCAGTTCTCTTTCTTCCCTAGCAACACACATATCAACGAAACATTCGAAGAAAAAAAGATACATCTACATAACAGAACGAAAAGAAATGGTGAAAGTAGAGAAAAACCAGTAATTTTCATGCAGTTTTTCTATTGTTTCGCGAAAAGTAGACTTTGTACCAAAAAGCGGACTTCATATTTGGACTCTAAGTGAAACAGCAACTCAGAATATCTATACCGTTTCTTCCCAAATCATTCGGTTGAAAAATAGCTTGAATTACTATGCACAAAGAATCTTTAAGTACATGAGTGTACGTCAAACAATACTCGAGTGGAAACAACGCATATTACACACCTGCCTGATACTCTTAGAACAATTTTTCGAAAAACCTTCATTGTAACAAGGATGGGACTGTTAATACCTGCTTCTAAAGCGTGAAAATTGCTTTGCCCAAGAAAGAGGATCGAAATGAAACTTATTGAACATTTTTTGAAGTTAAGCGTAGCTGCACTACACTCATAAAAACTAACTTTTCCGCCGCCAAGAAGAGTATATTTGAACAAAATCTTTTTATCATCTAATACGCTACAAATTGTTAGTGTTCATAGGACTAAACGAAATACTTCAATGTCAGATATTCTGAAGTACATATCTCCAGTAAATGTGTTCACTCCTTTTCCTGTTGTATCCACATAACTCCAAGGAAAATTTGAGTAGCTGCTACTGTTTTCATTGCTCTTGCGATCGACACAGAGATCAAAACCTTCTCCGAATGTTGGTCCACAATCAGCATAATGGAAGACAGCATACCTACTCTTTTGTGGATGAATGTGATACTTCGTTGGTGGAATAGTGTGTGGATTAGTCAGAGTGAACAGAAATGACGACGCATCTTCTTTATATTCTCCATCACTCTTCCACGATACTGGCGTATATCCTCCAAACAAATATCCATTCTCCGATCTGATAACAGTCACCGTTGTACCTTGATCATCACATCGACCATGGAAATCTGGAGCACTAAAGCCATCTCTACTAGCTCGATAAATCAACTTCCATCGCTGATTGTTCTTTCCGTAAAACTCATTTACTTTCGACTGATGTTCCTCATTCAGCAAAGACGTTTCGTCGAATAAAGTTGCAGTTTCATGTTTCGATTTTTCGATATGTTTCTCCGATACTTTCTGTGTTGACGCAATGCTGCTTGTTTCTCTTCCTATGACTTCGACGACGAGCACTGTCGACCATTCAATAGTCTGACTACTTATTTTGATGAGGCGAGTTGAGTTTGTGATGCTCAGCTTCAAACGTTCAAGCTCAGTTGTGAGTTTGTCTAAATCGGACTCAAAATAGTCATCATTCTCTTTTCGATGCTGAAGTTCTTGCGATAGTTGTTCGTAGTCTCGCTGCAGCTGAGATCTCGACTTCTGCATCAGTTCATCCACTCTCTTGCGAGCATTGTCGGCTGTTGTTCTCACTTGTGCAATGGTGGCCTCTTCCCATCGATCAATATCTATGAACGAAGAGTCGTTCACTCTTGTGGAAGGTGGAGGAGAGAAGAGATGTTGATAGAGCAGATCTCGATCACTGCATATACGATCAAATATCTTGTCGAGTTGTTGACGGTGTAACAAGTAGTGCTCCTTGCAATATCTGTCAGAGCAACCATCACATTTGATCATGCCATTCTTTTTACATCCACTAGTGGAGTATTTACAGGTCGTCGATTGTGCCATGCTGTCACTTAGTTACAAGAGAGAAAATAATTGAGAATATTTGAGGTATTATATTCGTTACTCACAAGTAGAAGTTCTCTATTTTAAATCTGTGGTTGACATATTTGTGTTTGCACATATATGAAAAGAGAACTGAAAAATTCTTTCCGTTCTGTTTGTTGACACGACAAGAGGCAGCACAGAACATGTTGTCTGTAGTGCGAGTATGTAGGTGCAATAGTGATTGTTATCAGATCGGAGAATGGATATTTCTTTGGAGAATATACACGAGTGCCATGGACGAAAAGATGCACCGTCATTTCTGTTCATTCTGACTAGTGTTTTGTTGGTGGAATAGTGTGTGGCACACGCTATTCCACCAACAAAGCAACACAATGATCAACAAGAGGATGCATATACTGTCTGGCATCATGCTGATTGTGCATGATCATTTGCACATGAACTCTGGGTCTCTCACAGCAATGAAAACAGTATCAGTCACGCATGCTTTCCTTGAAATTGTGTGAAGATGCCCACCGAAAAAAGAAAACTAGAGCAGTACTGACAGACAAACGTTTTCGTGGTGTCAGTAATGCTTAGAATGTTGAGTTCTACTAGCTCCCACAGTTTCATATTGTTCATATGAAGTCGATGTAAAGTATGGTACATTTTCAAAAGAAAATTTTTTGATAGTGTCTCATCTAGCAATCAATTTAATTATCAATAATTTTTTACATAGATACATGACGTCCAACTTCTGTTCATTGGTGAAAATCGTAGATTGCTAGCTGCTGGTGCTCTCAAGTTATTCAAAAACAATCATGGCTCTGTTCTTTTCAAATAGACACAAACATCCCTCCAGTGTTTTCCTTTGTGCATATGTAGATGAGATAAAATACGGCTGTATGCCTCCAAAAGTTTTGACGGGAACGACGGTAAAAAGGTTTTAAGGTGAGGTAGATACGCTCAGATACACTTCTTCGTTCGTCTCTATCTCATCGTATTTCGTATTACTGCAACAAGTCTGTATAGAGTAACATCTCAACAGAGCGGTGGACTAACTGTAGTCGTCGTTCTCACTACCATTTCAGCGAGCCAGTCGGAACTGTTCTCTACACATTCTTTTTGGATTTGTATCGCTATTGTATATTGTGGCATTATACTCAGTACGAAGACAAATATTGTTGTTCTCCATGTTCGAGACAACATAAAAAGGCCTTTTATTAAATGATGTTATTACTCTAGGAGAATCAGAGAGGAGTTCACGAAAAGTGGCATTAGCTTTCATACTACCTAATACGATGATCGATGATCTAAGTTAACGGATTTCAACACCTAAAAATCAACCGAATTTCGGCCAGCAGGAATCTGTCTGTACGATAATATGTTGTAGAAAATACAAAACTTTTCGTAATCGCTAAAGCGTTTCCTAGATTGTCTCCACAAAATCAAAATTTAAAACGAAAATCGAAGAGTAAAGAAGTAGAAGTAGAGTAAAGTAAAGTAGAAGTGCGACGATAAGAAGAGAAGCTAACTTACTTAAACTTGGTTAATCAGTCAATCGACCGCACATTTTTCAAAGGAAACTGTGAGGAACGAGATATTCTATGCTTTCTTTAGTTCTGATCTCGTGCAGTTCTCTTTCAGTTCGGTTTTCTTGACTCTCTCTAGTTCTTATTTTTCGAGTTTTGTTTGTGAAGCAAACGGCGTTTGTCGTGTGCCTGTTTTTCTTGGTTTTCTCTCTGTTTTTTGGATCATTCAATTTTTGGTTCGTTTCAAGTTTGTTCATCGTTCCGCATTAAAAAAGAAACGTAAAAGATCAAATCAAAACAAAATAGATCACTCGACTCGTCTAACAGTTTTCACGAAGAGTGAAAGGTGTCAGTCAACTGCATGATGGCTATTGTTACTCATACAAAGCTTTTTCCTTCTCACTCTGTATAATCATTTTTCTGGCCTCCGCTTGACAACTAAATAAAAAACCGACAATGCCATTCGAAAGACGATACAAAACTGATTCAGATTCCATGAGGGTTGTCTACATGTATCCTTTGGGATAATGTGTAAAAATCCGATCAAAAATCGTGTATTTTGATCGGGCTTTGAAATGGATAATGTTTTGTGGCGCATAGGAAACGCCGTAAACAAACCGTAAAAGTATTCATTATCCTTTCTAAAATAATTGTTAAATTTTAATTCGTCTTGAAATGAACTGGGAATTTCAAATTTTTCTATTGATATCATAAATACAAATTGCATCAGATTGTACATAATCCAGTATATCTGTAACTTTTCTTCATTCATCTCATTGCCCCTTTGGCTTGATGTGTGTTACCACTGTTGTCGTGATGTTTGAGCAGCTTTTTCCTTATCTAAATCTTTTATAGAGTTTTACTAATTGCCGTGACTGATTACTCTGTCCGTAGAACCACTTCACTTTTAACTGATGTTCATCACTCAACAGGGACGTTTCATCAAACAAAGTTGTAGTTTCACGTTTCGATTTTCTGATATGTTTCTCTAGTGCTTTCTGTGCTGTGCGTAGTAGAGGTACTGGTTCACTTTTACTAATTATTGCATTATCTGGTAAAAGTAATAAGCATTTGTTGCTTATTACCGGTGAATAGGTAATAAATCTTGTTGTTTTATTACTTATTACTTTTTTCAAGTAATATTTTTTATTATTTTAGTTTAAATTCTATTCTGAACAGATGAAACAAATATTTCACAGAACAATGCAATTTTCATTGTCCTAGACGTATAATTAAATGTAGTCCGTTCAGTCACTGATATATGTGGTATTTTTTGCCCTATTGCGGTTTGGGATACGGCTCAGGTACGGGTATGAAATCATACCCGTGCACATATCTAATTTATGGCCATCTAACATACGTTGAATTGGGTATTGAAGGGCATTTAACAGGCAATTAATTACACAACTTTCGACGATCTTGATGACTAGGTTTCGATGCTAGTAGCCGTTACAAAGTATTCATCTGATAATTCTTTAACGTTAGTATAATTAATGCAACAAACTCTATCTGTTGAGTATATCAGGTACATTTTTTACATGTACGCACTCAAAAATTCGTATTTCTCGTTTGGAAGAAAAAAGATTGCTCTGCAAAATGAGACGTCACCGAGCTCTGTGCAACCTTCCCTCGCCAGGCTACAGTCTTGACAACGCGTGACTGACTTAGTGAAAAGTAGACCGTTACGCGTAGAGGCCGACGGATCGATACTTCTAAAACCCAACCAACCAATTTTGAGCAAACCAATATTAAAGGTCTGCAAATTGAGCCATATAGAGAAACTCCAAACCAGTTAGAAATTAATTCGCAATAACTTTCAACCTAAGCTGTCGATATATTTTACTAATAATAAAAATATTCCTTCCATTAAAATTCTACTTCGTTTTAGGATATATTGAATGAGAGTAACGGACAAAGTAGCATAGTATTTAAAGAGTTTGTTAATTGTGCATTATAATAAGAAAATAATCCTCGACTATTATTCAAGAATTTAGATCCGGTTTCTAGTGGTAAGTAAGCGTAAAGAGGTATAGAAATAGCGCGCTGATTGCAAATATTATTATTACTGATTATTGGTATTCGATAGTTTCTAAGATTGTTAAAGAAATTACAAGGTAAAAATGCAATAACTGAAACAGCTGGTACTAGAACGGTTATTACCGGTGGTATGGCTGGTCTTACTGCAATAACACTTACTTAACTATTTTCACGAAAATTTTCTTTTCCTGAGGTTTTTTTCCTAGAAATTTGAAAGCTCGTTGATTTTCTAGTCTTTACGAAAAAAAATGCAAAATGTCTCATCCTTATCTCGAAACAGCTTGCTCTATGCTCAGTAATGTGGTAGATGGAAAGCCTTGTCAAAATGCAAGAGGAGCAGGCAACTGATGACTTATTCGGATTTTACTCATCGGTTATAAAATACCGACAGTTACAAAGGTGGCGAGCGTTTTGAAAAAAGAATGCTTGCAACGATTTTTGATAATTAAACTTAACGACTTTTTGTCAGTCGTTTCGGTCTCTGCATTTCACTCTCTTTACGAAGTTTACTTCGCCACATGAGCTATTAAAAAAGGGTTTTTCCGTATTAGTAGCTTTCGGCTGTTTTGAATACATTCGATATGCCTGTCATAGTTAGGTAGATCCAGTTGTCGAGATTCACTCTTTCAATAATATCATTGTCTTACCGGTGTGCGTGTTTTCCGAGATATTTGCAAAGATACTAACTGGTCGAACTATCATAAGGGAGATGCAACTACGTATAAGGATGATTACCGATAGTGCGACCTTTGTACGCAGTGAAATCGCAACTACAGCATAGTACTATTAAATGCTCGATAATTCTTGCAAAATGTCTGAGTTAATTCGCAGTTTTCACCACGTTTTTTATTATATCCTATGTTGTTATGATCACTTACATCCCACTTTATTTTGCAAAACTACAAAAGGTTGATAATAACGGTTGCGACTCTTTGTCCGTAATGCGCCGCCTAGAACCTGAACAACATGAAAATATTGGTAGAGAAGAGGTAGGCGCACGCGTCCATAAATACGATGTAAATTGAATTGAATCGAATCTTGAACGTTCAGTGGCACACTTAGAAAGAGAAATCCACCCGGTTTGAGAATGCATGAAATTTTGACCATAGTCTGAAGATCACCGTACGGATTTAGCGGATCTCGATATCGACCGAGACCATCGTGCTCGAGGCTACTGTATGACCATACACTATCGAATATTTCTCGTTTGTTCGTTTCACGCTGCTGCTGCTCACGTGCAAACGACATGGGTGTAATGACAAAAAGACGGGGTACGCTTGAGTTAATCATGGCATATTCAATGGTCGTTACATTTGAAGCATTGTACTCGAGTAAGGCCGCTTCAATCCAAGGGTGTTCTGTTCCGATCACCGCACATTTCTTGTCTCGAATAGCCAACGAAGCGTATCTATCCAGAGCCGCATATATAGCTTTATTGTTGTATGTCCCTAAGGCTTCTCGTGCTCGCACTTGAAAGCGATAGTTTTCGATAAGTTCAACTGTCCACACAGTTGGCAAAGTATCATCTTCACGAAACTCTTGTTTGCGATAGTTAACGGGTATAGAAAAATTGAGAGTAAAGTTGGATAGAAGATGATCAGGTATTCGACTGATATGCTTACGAGTCAGCGGTAGATCATCTTTACGCCAGCCATTGTACAACGGACATTGGTCAGGATCAGGAGTACAGTATATATTATGTTTGACAAAATCTTTATGAATAATACGTGGATGAAAGGAGCAGGAAACCAGTTCCTTGTTGCTGCTAAGCCAAGCACAAATTCCAGAACAAACATAAACATTCCGAATCGAGCAAGGCGGATCAACTGAGCCGTTTATCGAAAGGAGTCGAGCATGTGCGTACAGTTCGGCGATCGAGCGTGATGGTTGCCTACTCTGGATCGGAGAAATGCAGTAGTGCGTAAGCGATAAAGCGATGAGAAGAAATATCAACACGATTATTGCTACACGAATAAACAGCGACATCGTAGTAGATATCTACAAAGAAGGCGTCTCATGTGCTGACGCTTGTTCATCGACTCACACCTAGTACACACAGCAGCAGCATTCGTCTTATGTACAATTTTTTATTGTATTGGTTGTACGTGAATATACACAAGTTGCCTAATTCAGCGAGTGATGTGAAAGTAGTTAGACTTTCACTGGGTATGCATCGGTATCGATATACCGAAACTACTGACATTTTTAAATATTTCATTTGAAATGAGATATTTTAGCGTCCCGGATAGGCAAAATACATAACACCTGCGCTGGGTGTTCTGACCATATGCAGATAGAAAAAACAAAAACATTTTGGCTTTAGAAAGTGAAAAAAGGCGGTATTTCTGGTATGGATATCGATACCAGTGCATACTAACTTTCACTAGTCGACCATCGTAATAAGAAGAAAAGAAACGGTTTTGGCCATAAATCTGTTACAGTTGAATAAACATACTGTCTTCATAGTTTCAGTCACGCTAAAGTGTATTTGTGTGTCTGTATGGAAAAGACCATTCATCCCACACCGAACCAAGCAAATTGTATATTATGCTATATTCACAAACAATCAATAGAAAGAACAGGTGAGTCCCGCACTCCCAGCGAGAGGATGTATGCTCAGTTTAATAATTTATGTGGAAGGTATGTGTGCTATATAAGAAACAGTTCTTATTTGCTTAGTGATCATTCTAACTGCACTATTCGTAGTAAAATTGATTTATAAGTTTCTTCAAGTGTTCTTGCTGTTTAGAGTTACGGTTTTAAAAATTCTGCTAAATCCTCGACTCCTAAAAAGCAAAGGTTGGAGCTAGATCAGACAGAGCCAGCTCAAGCGGGCGGTTAACCTAGCTGGTAACCTCCCCACCCGCCCGATCCTAGGTTAAACTTCTTAAGGTGGAGCTAGCTTAACCGGGTCGAAAACCGTGTTATCTAGCTCCATTTGTTTTGCTTGGGCAGCTATAAGGAAAAATTGTGTAGCTGCTACTGGTGTCATTGCTCTTATCAGAGACCAAGAGATCAAATCCATCTTCAAATACTGGTCCCCTAGCGTGATGCACCACAGGATATTTACTGAGTTGTGGATCAATGTGATAACAGAAATGATGATGCATCTTCTTTCCATCGTCTATCACTCTTCCACGGAACCCGTGTATATCCTCCAAACAAATATCCATTCTTCGATCTTATAACAGTCACTATTACGCTTTGAGCATTACATCGACCATGAAAGTGTCTAGCACCCAAGCCATCTCTACTTGCTCGATATATCAAGTGCCACCACTGATTGCTCTTTCCATAGAACTCATTCACTTTCAACTGATGAGCATCACTTAACAGAGACGTTTCATCAAACAAAGTCGCAGTTCCACGCTGCGCTTTTTCGATATATTTCTCTGGTACCTTCTGTACTGACACAACGCTCGTGGTTTCTGTTTCTATGACTTGGATTTCGAGCACGTCCGAGCCAAAACATTTTGCTCAACTTTTGCATTACGCGCACCTTAACAATTTTCAAGCAAAGCGATGCACCTTTTGTGACTGGTGGCATAATGAATCGAATGAGATAAAATATTTGACTACATCTCTTAAGTAAGAAAACTAGGTAGGTTTACAAAATGGCTCATGTGCATCCGAATGGGTTCAGTTCTAGCCGCCACTGTCAATGAACTCTTTGAGTTGAAACGATTTAACATCTTTTCTACACTCAGTTTTTTACGCTGAATTCGAACAGCTTCCAAAATCTGAACAGAAGAATAAAGTGGAATATTCTGCATGCTTTGAAAATGATGCGTATTTGGAAGAAAACGATCCGTCCGAGTTTTTCAAAATTTGCGATCAGAAAAAATCATTTGCAAAAGCTAAAACCAGTTTTTCTTGCTCAGCTTGATGCGCTCTATCCAACCACATATAAAAGAACAAGAAAATAAATTTTACTGAAAGTTCGAGTTGCGGACGCCTTATTTCTTTTCTATTTTTGGTTTGACGATCAATTTTATTGCAATTTTTTGTTTTGTTTTATTTGTACATAGTTGGATAGAGAGCGTGAAAGTGACCATAAGAAAGTAGGTTTTACCTTTTCAAAAAATATTCTTCGTAGAAAAACACTCAAAATGATGGAATACTCCATTTTTCATACGTGTAAAGCTCGAAGTTACTTCGACTTTTGAAATCAAACAATCTATATTTTCGACTTTCGATCTATTATTTTGACTATTCGACTTTTCGACTTGATTTACTACATGTTGTTGTTGCACTTAGCATGTACGAACTTATAGCACGACGGCCGAAGCATAATAGGATGTGTCGTAGGGGGAGGGGGGGAGGATGTTGAGAGTGAGTACAAATAGTTCAAAAAGAAAGGCGTGTATATAGCCAAAAGTTCAAAAGAGAATCTCATAAGTTGAAAATGAAATGTTAAGTCAAAATTTGGAAAGTCGAAAGTCGAAAGTATAGACTGTTTGATTCCAAAAGTCGAAGATGTTTTTCGACTTTTGAAAAGTCAAAATGAATCTATGATTGCTACTCGCACTCGACGGGGTTTCATTCACAATGATATTTCGGCCTGTATAAAGTTTTAACACCATACTCCGCAGCTAATTTTTCGAATTGTGTAGCCTCCAAAATAAATACAATTTGAAGGTTAACAGATTTTAGGTTAACAGAAGAAAAATCAAAAAGAATTGCCTGAAAAAAAGCATGTTTTATAAAGTTATAACGCTATAAAGAGGGAAGGAAAGACCCCCAAAAGAGTTTTCATGTTGAAAAATTATCGACATTTTTACCAAAAATTAGGATCAGCTAAAAATTTCGAAATACACATTAGCCGATTCAGCTTTATATTATTTGATTCTGTCAGATAGGTTTACAAAATTACTCATATACATTCGAAAGACTCCAATTCTAGCCAACTGCCTATAAATGCTCCACCGATGGATGTAAAAAGTATGGCATGATCAAATGCGATGGTTGCTCTGACAGATTCTGTCAAGAACATTTCACGAAGCATCGACAACTACTCAATCTGACATTCGATCGCATTTGCAGTGATCGAGATCTACTCTATCAACAGTTCTATCCTTCGTCATCTTCCACGACAGTGAACGACTCTTCATTCACAGATATCGATTGATGGGAAGAGACCACCATCGCACAAGTGACTAACAGCCGATAATGCTCGGAAGAGAGTGGATGAACTGATACAGAAGTCGAGATCTCAGCTGCAACGAGACTTCGAACAACTATCACAAGAACTTCGTCGCCGAAAAGAGAATGATGACTACTTCGAGCCTGACTTGAACAAGCTCGCAACCAAGCTTGAATATTTGAATTTGAGCATCACAAACACAACTCGATTCATCAAAATAAGAAGTCAGAGTGTCGACTGATCCGCCGTGCTCGGCATCGAAATCATGGCAACAGAAACAAGCAGCGTTGTGCCAACACAGAAAGCGCTTGAGAAACACATCGAAAAAGTGAAGCAAACAACTGCGACTCTATTTGATGAAACGCCTTTGTTGAGTGAGGAACGTCAATTGAAAGTGAATGAGTTCTATGGAAAGAGCAACCAGCAGTGGCAGTTGATTTATCGAGCTAGTAGAGACGGTTTTGGTGCTAAAGACTTTCATGATCGATGTAATGATCCAGGTGCAACAGTGACTGTTATAAGATCGAAGAATGGATATTTGTTTGGAGGATGTACACGAGCTCCGTGGAAGAGTGATAGAGGATGGAAAGAAGGTGCGTCGGCATTTCTGTTCACCCTGACTAATCCACACACTACTCCACCAACAAAGTATCAAATTGATCCGCAAAAGAGTGTAACTGCTGTCTGGCATCATGCTAGTTGGGGACCTATATTTGGATGGCGTGATGGTCGTTGTCTCTTTCAGGAGCGATGAAAAGAGCGGCTTCATAAATTTTCCGTGCTGTTATGTAGATACAACAGGCAAAAGAGAGAAGACATTCACTGGAAATAAACACTTCACAACATCTGACATTGAAGTATTTCGTTTCGTCGAATGAGCACTAGCAGTCCGTGCTTTCATATGCAGACGATGTGAATGTAGACAGCTTTTGTTTTATGTATTGCGTTCATTGATTACATTCATGTGTTTTGTGCACATGTGGCACACTCACTAGAGTCATAGTACTAATGCACAGCAGGTATGCGCTGTTGAATAGAGCCTGATAAATTAACGGATAGTGATGGAGGATGGAAAAAAGATGAATCATCATTTCTGTTCACCCTGCCTAATCCACACACTATTCCGCCAACAAAGTATCATATTGATCCACACAAGAGTACAAATGTTGTCTTGCATCATGCTGATTATGAACCTGTATTTGGAGGTAGAGATAATCTCATTGTCTAGTCCAATGAACAGTACGTTTTTGTGCAACCGATGTGAATGTTAATAGCTTTCGTTTGATCTATTAGATTCAATATGTGTTTTGTGCGCGTGAGGCGTACGCACTACAGTCATAATCCTACTAACTGGAACTCTTTTACTTAATGTAAACCGGTTCGTAAAGGGCCGCTATAAAAAGATTTCCTTTTCATTCCTATTTCATCATAAAACTTTGGTTCTTGCCTAGCTCAATAGAGAAATGTGTGGAAAAGATTTACTACAGTAAAGAAAGAAACCAGTTTTGTCTTTACTTTTTGTTGACAACTAATTATTCCTCTGGAAGTCTTCCAGAGGAAAATGCTGAACCACAGTGTTTCTCCGGTGTTATTGCGATGATAAAGTTTATAACTTACGATGTTTTTTGTGTTTTTTTCGTCGTGGTTTCACTGAAAGTCAATTAGCGTGGTAGAATGGTGACTATTCTTTGCCAGATTATGCTATTTTATAGCAGAAATATGATTATATTTGCCTGCTGGGGGTTATCAAATTCCCACAGTGGCTCACTGTTATGTACAACAGTGAGATAGCGATCCTAGGCTGTTGGTAGCCAAGCATTTCATTTCATAGTAGCTATGGATAACAATACTATATTTCGATCCTTCTCGCAACAGAGACGAAAAAGAGAATGACTGTGCAAATCGCTTAACCACAAACAATTATCAGTTAGACATAGTCCACAAGCCTTTCTGAACTTGAATTGTAAATGGGCAGAACAGGTCCTGTGACATAACACATCGAAGTTTCTAAATATATAGCGGAGTGGTGCTGGCTTATAACCACAAATTTTCGTACGAATTTATATTACCGTTTACTTTTCTAGATGCTTCGGCACGTTTTTTATTGTATAACTGCGAGCAGCACGAGTTGTGAATGAAGATTCAGTGGTACAAGATTGTTAATTATACTGTATATTAATAAGTCCACGTTATTTTCTAATGAACGATATTTTTCGGTATTCTTGAAAGATTTCTCACATAAACGACAACTCTTTTCTTTTATATTGTCAGCCATCACAAAGACTTATAACAATTATAACGAAGTATTTTATGCACTATGTCAACTATAGTGAGCTTTGAAGCACTTACATTGTCTATGTTATTACTGGGGAAGCCAAAAGAAAATGTCGTTTTTCTATTGAAATATTTTGTATAAATGCACTGCGATAAGTTGGGGTAATGTAAATTCGTACGAAAATTTGTGGTTATAAGCCAGCATCATGGTGCTGGCTTATAACTATATAGCGGAGTGCACTCCGCTATATATTTAGAAACTTCAATGTGTTATGTCACAGGACCTGTTCTGCCCATTTACAATTCAAGTTCAGAAAGGCTTGTGGACTATGTCTAACTGATAATTGTTTGTGGTTAAGCGATTTGCACAGTCATTCTCTTTTTCGTCTGTGTTACGGGAAGGATCGAAATATACTCAAGGTAGTGCATTTTATTGTTACTCATAGCTAAAAGTGGTAGTTCCTCGTGGCAAACATTGTGTGCCGCACAAGTTCAGCATATTAGAAATTAGTTTTCTCTACTTCATATGATTAGATTCGTAGTCTTCAAATAAAATAACACTGAGTGATGTATAACACTGCTGTTCACAAGAAGAACCAGGCCGTCTAAAGTCTCGATACTTCATCCTATCTCTCAAACAGCTTTCACCCGTAGCTGCTTCTTAGCATCTAAAACTGAGTCTAAAAGTTATATTTGAACTATTATAAGAAATGATAGATCACTAGATCTCAACGATTAATAGTTGAAGAAATCTATTATAAGAGATTCATTTTCATTTTACCTAACGAGGAAACCACTCCAACTGTCCGATTGCTTTTTTCATGAAAGCTAGTGGACAATAGGTAATCGAGTGTGCTGAATCCGAATATCATAGTGGTTTGGGCGTCTCGACCTCCGGAGACCGGTTTTCTGGAAAACTAGTTTTCCAGAAACTCTAAAAGATAATCAAACCTTTTCTTAACGAACCATAATTGTAGCCAGCGCATTTCTGATTAAAATGAGACATCTCCGAGCTCTACACGACCTTTCTTTGCAAAGTTAGAGAATTTACAAGAAGAGCCCTAAATGTTCATTGTCAGCTCAAAGCTACAGAAATAAGAAGCAAGTAATTTAGGGCTTTTCTTGTAAATTCTCTAACTTTGCAAAGAAAGATCGTGTAGAGCTCGGAGATGTCTCATTTTAATCAAAAATGTGCGGACTACAATTATGTCTCATTACGAAAGGTTTTGATTATCTTTTAGAGTTTCTAAAAAACTGATTTTCCAGAAAACCGGTCTCTGGAGGCCGAGGCGCCCAAACCACTATGATATTCGGATTTAGCACACTCAATTACCTATTGTTCACTAACTTTCATGAAAAAGCGATCGGAGAGTTAGAGTGGTTTCCTCATAAGTTATGATTCAATGGTCTAATTTATCGGTGGAAGCTTGTAATACAAATGTAGAAAATCAACATCACATGATAAACCGTTCGATCTTTATCTTCCTCTCTCCAATTTTTCTTTCATTTTTGTATGTCTCTTTATTAACTTTTCTACTCATCCGCTCATTAATGACTCTTTTGCAAATTGATACAATGTGATCCATTGGATCGCGATTTCGATCTGTATTAAGATTTTCTTTTTCAAATAAAGTTTATACCAACCGTTCGATGTATGCTTATAAATATGCATTAGAACTAAATCGGCCACATTTAGCCAATATAAAATGGGAAAAAATGAGTTTACTTTCGTTTGAACAACGATATCAAAATACAATTCAAACAACTCATATAAGAAAATGTGATAATTCCATAAGAAAGTTAAGAAATGAAAAAACGACAATATGTGCAGTAGTTACATGTGCATGTTCAGTTCGATTATTAGATTATTTTCTTAGGCGATGGAAAATCAATATAAATAGTCAAACAACAAATTGATGATGGTTACATAACGACACCAATACTAACAGTCATAACACATAATCAAAGTGAAACCTTAAAATTTTTATTATTTCGAGGGGATGGTAGTTTAAAAGGACAATTTGATACTATATTGGCTACTGCTCTAAATTATAACAGTAAAACAGATTTAATAATTACTTGAAAAAAATGTTGATTTAACAGGTCGAGAGGGATTATGTCAAAAATGATTTGGACTGGCCAAACGAAAATATATGACCGGCCAACCAGCTAGGCTGGCCCTGTCAGAAATTTTTAGACTGGTTACCGGCCCCTTGAGAAAATCTTGACTGGTTACATCTATGATCTACAATATATATCAAATGCAGCAGAAACTTAATCAAATTTGATTCGACCAATTTTTTCTGAAAGTGCTTCTAAGATCTAGCAGGTACCTAGAAATAATTCCACTGTTCATTCTACTTCTAGTCTCTGATTAGCCGATGAAATACAGGCGTGGGCTGAGTTTATCATGATGATCGCCCCCATTCATACTCATATCTTCTACTAACCGAACAAAATCGTGATATTACCTTCGAGGAGAGGATCAGTCTGAGGAAAAAACAAAAATGGGGCGGTCTTTAGCTTATATACACCCGCCTTTTCCTGTTAATCAGCGCACTATAAAAGAAAGTGTGTACATGACCTAAATATTAAACATTTAGCATCAGAAAAGTGTTTACTTTTCTAGGTGATCAATCTTAGTGTGTAAAAAGTTATGTTGTTAAAAAATCCATTATTTTCCATTTTTCTCGCAAACTACTGCATAAAGTGAAAATATAATTCCAGAAGCATGATGACCGCCGTCGAAAGTATATATACTGTCATTTTTAGCCAAAACAGATAAAAAGCGCTAAAAGAAATATCGGCATATGCTAGATTAGGTACGTTTCGAAAGAGATACAAATCCATATGTTAGAATGTATATATCAGGCAATTAAAAAGTATCTCTTTTGAGAAACGAATATTTTGGCAAGAAATTGGTTTCTCAAAAGAGATACAATTATATATATGGAATCTCTCATTTCTCAAAAGTAGAGTCCTGCGGTAACAAAAAATCCCATTACTTTACCATTACCATGGTAATGGTAATGGTAATGGTAATGGACACCGTTCATAATCATACCATCTCTTTATTGTAAAAAAGAAGAAAAAAAAGTACCAGAAAAAAATAAAATTCGTTATTCATCTGAATTGTATTCTTCTGAATTATATTCTTGTTCAGG